CCCAGCAGTGCTGCTGGAGTTTTGAAACACTGTGTCCACTCACTGTCCACTCTATTAGACACTCCTACCTTATCAGCCCACCTTGTAGATGCATTCTATCAGTGGTCACAGGATGCTGCCCACAGGACACTGTTGGCTGGATATTTTTGGTTTTCAGTCCAGCAGTGATACTGAGGTGTTTAAAAACTCCAGCAGCACTGCTGTGTCTGATCCACTCAGACCAGCACAACACACACTAACACACAAACACCACATCAGTGTTACTGCAGTGCTGAGAATGATCCACCACCCAAATAGCACCTGCTCTGTGAGGGTCCATGGGGGTCCTGACCACTGAAGAACAGGGTAAAAGGGGGCTAACAAAGTATGCAGAGAAACAGATGGACTACAGTCTGTAACTGTAGAACTACAAAGTGCACCTATATAGTAAGTGGAGCTGATAAAATGGACAATGGGCGTAGAAACAAGGAGGCGGTCATAACGTTATGCCCGATCGGTGTATATTGATTAAATTTAAGATGATTTCACTTCCCTGTCCATTGTTTTGTGACGTAAAAGCAAACAAAGTGAATATCTTTTAAAGGAAAAGGACGAACACCAGACTCCCCTCACGAGATAAAGCTGTTTCTCACATTAACCCAAACACTTAAACCTGACCAAACTGCTTCCCATCAACCAAACACCGGTCTCCACCACAAATTAAATCACAAATTAAAGCGCACACCATCTGCTTAGCCCCTCTCCACGGCTCATCCTGTGATATCTCCTTTCCCGGTTAGTATAATTAACGCATCTATCTCCCACCTAAAACCGTCCTCAGTACTCCAGTTTAATTAAAAAACGCTGCCTTCACTCACAGCGTTATTCACAAGTGTGTGCCTGCATGCTAAAAAGGCGGCCTTTCTCAGCTGCGATGATGAATGAGGGTCAGGCTCAATATTGGGGAATCCGGAGCGGATGCCAAGTGTCGACTTCAGTGACCACAACACATCAGCGTGCTGGTGTAGTGGAGCGAGATAGGATGCCAGTGTTTATCACTGGCTCAGAAGACGGCACTGAACCAAAAACGTAACATTAACATGTTTATTCTCTTCACCTACAGTTATATGCAGACGTTTGGACCAAGGCCTTCAACATGTGGTGGTAGCATGAGAGAAGGCTTCTATTTATTTATTTATTTATTTATTTATTTATTTTTAGTTTATCACCACCACTGTGAACCATTCTGAGTTGGCAAGTTCACGCTCTGAATGACTTTGTTTACGTCGTAACGATCCAATTGTGCATAAATTTTGAAAAAATTGGTGGAATTCCCCTTTAAGCTATTACAGTTAAGTCCTGGCCGAATTCCCATACCTCACTAAGTTGTTCCCACGTCTCAACTATATCATTCTCGTGCCTTAATAAGCTGTGGCCACACATTATGTTTTTATTAAAGACCCCGTATTCAACATATTCCATTTTTCGCCTTTGGTCCACTTGTAATGTTTGTGTGGGTTTATTTTTTAAACGTTTACACTTTTGCTCTCTAACCACCTCCACTCTGCCTGCAACTGTTTTACCTGTTTATTTTTTATTTTCATTATTTTATTATTTATTTATTTGTTTTTATATTATTCTTCTTCCTATTCTTATTTTGATTATGATTTTTTAATTATTTTAGTCATTTTAAGTTTCCTTTTTGATCTTTTCCTTCTTTGTTTTATTTATCTTCTTTTGATTTTTTTAACTTTCACATTTTAGTTATGCTCTAATTATTGTTTTATATTTTCTGCTATTTTTTATGTATTTTTATTGTTAATGTTTCATTTTTTATACTTTCCTGATTTGAGTCATTTTTTATTAAATTGACTTTTATTATTTGATATGTTCTTACACATTATCAATCCCTTTTCCTGTATCAACTCGGCAACATTGTAAATGAGAGTCACCCACAATGTTCTCTGAGGTTAAATGAAGGTTGATTGATTGATTGATTGATTGATTGATTGATTAATTGATTGATTGATTAATGTACCAGAAACAGTCAGTATTCATTTTTACACAAACTTTTCCAACCTCTATAAGAATTCAACAGGCTGTTTTTGTTACTGGGCCTTTAAGACTTGACATATGTAAATAAGCTCTGTTCTGATTGGCTGCCTTGTATTGTGCCTCGTTTAAAAAGCAGTCTGGACTGAAACACTGAGTGCGTTTACATGCACTCAATATCAGATCATAATCCGATTATCCAAATGGTCATGTGAACACCATCCTCCGATCTAGAAATCTGATTAAGAAATCTGATAAAGAGATTGGATTTTGGCTCTGTAGTCAGATTTCTCAGTGCATGTAAACTCTTACTCTGATTTCTTTCATATTTCTCGGTCTGCCCATGTGCGGAAACAGACGGTGGTACCGGAAATAAGCAAGCAGCGCTGCTGCAAAACGCAGGAAAACTCTTTTGGAGCGACGCTGAAACCGACAATATCCTCGCCAAAATTAAGGATTTAAATATTCTTCATCTTCTAGATGATGTTTGTTCATATTTTCAGGTAAAGTGGTGCAATGTTTTTTAAAAAAAGGCGCAGCATGAAGTTTGAGTTTTACATTACGTTTCCATCACGTCTTCTTCTGTGAGTTTATTGGCTGGTTCCAAAGCAGAAATCTGATTACTGTCTGACTCATATAGACCTGGAGTTTCCCCAATTATCTGATTACTCAACTGCATATAAACATGTTGATCGGATTACTGACAAAATCTGATTTTCTGCAGTTATCGGATTATTAAGTGCAGGTAAACACACTCACTACAACTTCACTGCATGGGTGGAGCTAAACTGCTACAGGCTGAATAGGTGATATATGTGAATTTGTTTGTTTTTGTGATGTCACAAAAATCATTAACTGCTTTTTTGCAGCAGAGTTTCCATATATGAGATGTACAGACTGAGGAGCGATTATTATTATTTTTTTTTTCTTTTTCATTTCGCTATTAATGTCACAACTCATCATTCATTAATGATCATACAGACATAAGGTGATGTGGTACCACAACCACCCAACCCCCCTCCAAACACCATTGTGAGAGAAATTAGCTCTCAATATATTGTAAAAATTGTGACCAGGTTTCCTTGAATGATTTTGTGTTGTTTGTAAAATTTGCTGCGAGTCTTTACAAGTTGCAGTGATCCATGAGGAGGTTAAGCCAATGCCTTATTGAAATTTTGGTTCTGTCCTTCCAGTTCAGCAGTTTAACTTTTTTGACAGTGGTAAGTGATATGAATATAAAGGATTTGAGGTGATTGGGTGCTGAAAGTGAGGAAAGGTCATTAAGTAGTGCTACAATGGGACATTAAGGGATGACAAGGCCCAAAATCTCTGATAGCCTAAACTATAACTGCTGGGTCAGGGGACAAATCCAGAAAGCATGATAGTGATTGTCTGTTAAAGCTGGGCAATGTTGGCATGCATAAAACATATCTACATACTTCATCTCAGGTATTTCTTAAAGAGTGAAGAAAATGCCGTTTTCCATTAAGTGGGCCCTTTAAGACAGGATACCAAAAGCAGGGCTTGGCAGAACAGCAACTCCAGCTGCCAGAACAGTAAGACACAGAAGTGAGAATGGAGGATCTTTGGAGTTTGATTCGGTCAGGTTTACATAAACACACTATCCCCCCCAAACACACTCCCAAACTTAAGTTGTAATGGTTTTCAGGGGAGCTGAGCCCCCCTGGCTCCCCCCGTAACCCGGCTGCGAGTGTCCATCACTCACCTCTCAGTCTCTCTGAAAGCTGCACTGCTTCCGCACCAGATCGAAGAGCGATTTTATACAAGTAAATGCCACTACGTAGATGACATTTAAGCCCTGTTGTTTCGGAAGAACATGTCCAGGAAAAGGTCAAACAAGGTGAATTTATTGTTCGGAGGGGACGGCGGGAAAAGGGCAGCGAGGTGATTTTCATTAAGCTCTGTTAATCACGATTTACAAAGCGTAATTTTACATAAATCCCCCTGTAAGCTATAACCAACAGCTGCTTATGTTCAGGAGAGGCTGATATAGGAGTGGGTGGAGGAGGAGGAGTGAGAGAAAATGTGAGAAACCATATGCAGCCTGTTCTCAACTAGTGCTCAGATAAATGGGGACATTCATGGAGATTTAAAGTAAGTAATCAACTCTTAAATGCATGAATCAGACTGAGATAAGTGAAAAAATAAATATCAAATTATAACAAAATACATTTTATTATTCTGTTATTATAGATAAAAAATTGTAACAATTTTATACACAGCAATTCAGTTTGTAGATCTGTTTGTGTTAGATACACACCGATCAGGCATAACATTATGACCACCTCCTTGTTTCTACACTCATTGTCCATTTTATCAGCTCCACTTACTATATAGGTGCACTTTGTAGTTCTACAGTTACAGACTGTAGTCCATCTGTTTCTCTGCATACTTTGTTAGCCCACTTTAACCCTGTTCTTCAGAGGTCAGGACCCCCATGGACCCTCACAGAGCAGGTACTATTTGGATCATTCTCAGCACTGCAGTAACACTGACGTGGTGTTTGTATGTTAGTGTGTGTTGCACTGATCTGAGTGGATCAGACACAGCAGTGCTGCTGGAGTTTTTAAACACCTCAGTGTCACTCCTGGACTGAGAATAGTCCACCAACCAAAATATCCAGCCAACAGCGTCCTGTGGGCAGCGTCCAGTGACCACTGATGAAGGACTAGAGGATGACCAACACAAACTGTGCAGCAGCAGATGAGCTATCGTCTCTGACTTTACATCTACAAGGTGGACTGACAAGGTAGGAGTGTCTAATAGAGTGGACAGTGAGTGGACACAGTGTTTAAAAACTCCAGCAGCACTGCTGTGTCTGATCCACTCAGACCAGCACAACACACACTAACACACCACCACCACGTCAGTGTCATAATGTTATGCCTGATCAGTGTATATAAAACACACAAAATCACACAAATGCTAGAAGTGGACCTTGAGAAAAAAATAAAATACAGGAAAATAAATGTATAACTCTGTATAACTTCAGTGTGAATGGGTGTGGCCAAACTGCTGTAGGCTAAACAGGAGGAGCTACGTAAATGGGTTGGGTTTTTTGTGACATCACAAAAGCACTGAATTCAAAATGCAGCTTATTTCCATATCGTCACTTTCCAAAGAATAACAAGTATCTCCAAAACAGTGACTTTACAGGAGAGGGTAAAAACACTCTTACCTTTCAATGTAAGTCAATGTAAAGAGATTTTATTCTAAGTGATTTTAGAGCGTTTCCATTGGTCCAATCATCATGAAAATTTCACACAATGTAAAGGACAGCTGGTGTGTTGAATTGATATAGAAAACATAAAATAGACAAAAATGGAGACACACTGTTTTCTCTGGACAGCGATGGTATATGGGCTGGGGAGCGAACTGTACGCTTTATAATTTGATCCAAGTTTACGTTCTACATCAAACTCAAACTTTCATGCTGCGTCAGAGTAGAAAATCACAAAATTTGTTTCTCCGCATAATGAGCCCTTTAAGCGTGGAGGAAAATGCTCTTGAAGGCTGCCCTGACACACACACAGTCTGCAAAATCGTTCTTGTGTAAGATGTTTCTATCTGCTCTGTCCATCTCACAAATAGGACGAGAATTACTGCAGACGAGAAAATGTAAAGGTTAACTTAAATACGGGGTTTAAAACATACAATTGATCCAGAGCATTTCTGAACAGCCTTCAAGGCGAAAATGTCAGGCCATCATTCTCCTGCAGTATTTAACCATTAGGGGGTAGAAGATTTCACCCCGAGGGTCCTGTCTGGTCCCGGTTTTTCCAGGAGTCACATGTAAAAGCAGTCTTGGGCTCCACCCAGTGCCAATAAACAGAAAAACAGTCTAACACTGAAGAATCCATTTACAGTAACGAGGGAACAAACTCTTGGTAGAGCTTCAAGGCTCCAACTTCATCAAACTCCTTTCTGAGGTCCTCTAAAGATAAAGCTTCTTTCACTTCAAAAGTCGATATCCTGAAATAAAGGGCAGAGGAAGAAAAAGGAGAGCGACAGATGAAGTAACTGGCTAAATATTAATGAGGACGAAAGAGTTTAATGAGGAATTATTTTTTAAAAGAGAGCAAAAACGTAGGATGGGGAGGCTCTTACCTTTTAAAATCCTCAGAAAGAGGAGTTTCACATAAAACGCTCATCATCTTCTCTTTGCACCGTTTCCCTGATGAGTCAACATCAACTTTCGCTGTCCTCTGGAGGTGGATATACTCCTGTAGAGAAGAACTGAGATTCATAACTCTGTAAAGTATTTTTAAAGACATTAAGATAATTAATAGAGACCCAGGTGCTCAATGGTTAACACACTGCTCTGCTAAGGCAGGGACTGTGGGTTTGAGTCTCACTGTCGGGGTAGCACAGTGACGCAGTGGACGTGTGCCCGGCTCATAACGCAAAGATCAACAGGTCCAAACAACCCCCAAAAGACTTACAGTTGTGAGCAAAAGTGTGAACACCAGGTCAAACTGATTTTCTAGGTAAAGGAAACAAAGGAGGAACTGAGATTATTTCTGATTAGGGCTCAACCAACGTCACAAATGAGTTTAAGGCCCTAAAATATACAAATAACCACTAATATCTGATATTTTATGTAAGAAACCATGAAAGAAAAGACTAAAAAGGGTGTCGGCCAGTGTAAATTTACAGTCATATATTGTTGGTTTAAAATTGTGGTGTCAGGCAACCAAAATCCAACGTCTTACAAACGTCACGTCAACGTCATATTGACATAAAATACTGACATGTAGTCGTGAGGTATGGTCACCAAAACCCAACGTCTATTTAACGTCATAACCTTAACGTCAATTCGACGTGACAATCCAACATCATTAGCCGTTGATATTTTGTCGGTTTAAAATTTTTGTGTCAGGCAACCAAAATCCAACGTCTTACAAACGTCACGTCAACGTCATATTGGCATAAAATATTGACATGTAGTCGTGAGGTATGGTCACCAAAACCCAACGTCAATTAGACGTGACATTCCAACATCATTAGACGTTGATACTATGCTGGCTTATTTTGTCGGATATTTTGTTAAGTTTAAACGGTCGCTGTCAAATGACGTTTCGTTGATTTTTTAAGGAAAAATAGTAAAAATAAAAATAAATTAAAAAACAAGTTAACACATCCTCTCCACATTAAAATATGACATTTTACTTCATATATTAGAGCACAATTTCTATTTCTTGATTTGGAAAAAATTAAACAAAAATGTGCCAGAATTTTTGCACAGACCATTTATTCCCCCCCCCCAATATGTTAAATTCAGCGAATAAACAACAATTGTGCATTAAATATGCACCATCTTCAGCACATTCTCCATCTATCTGAAGAACCCTTTCATGATGCAAAGAACCCTTTAATCATGCAAGGGGTTCTTTGAGTGTTTATGGTTCTATATTGAACCATTTTCTTTATTGAAGAACCCTTAAAGAACCATCTTTTTTAAGCGTGTATGCTGTATTTTGTGTACATTCCACTACTGCGTACATAGCAGTTCCTTCAGTCACATTTGTATATTTGTATATAAAAAATGTAAAATATTTATTATTATTAATTATAATGTATCACAATAATCAAATTAAACCAAATCATTCTGAACTCTGAGATTTCATGATGCACTGAATCATTTCTTTAAGAATTATAACAGAATCGTTCAGAAACATACATCCTAAATAATAATAATAATAATAATAATAATAATAATAATAATGTTTTTTAATTATTTAGCACCTTTCATGCCGGTAGTAGCTGAAAGTGCTTTATGAACAGGAGATAAAATTAAAGAGTAATACAAGAAATTATAAGTATTAATTTAAAATCATGTAAGAAAATGACACAAATTATTAACATACATACGATGACAAATAAAAACAAGATCTAAAATCTGTATTTAAAGAAAAATAAAAAAATAAAAAACATTTTAAAATCACTGCTTTATGAGTTAGGAGTTTGTGCTCCATCTCAGTAGCGAGTTAACACACCTGCTATCAGGCTACTACGATATGAATAAACAGTTTAATCTGATCTGATCTAATCTGATCTTTAATCTGATGTGCCTCCTACAGTGAATATTACAGCTCACCTTAATGCTCCTCCTCTCTCCTTGCAGCAGAATCAGAATAGGCTTTCCCACGAAGAGTCGTCCAGTGAGTCTCAGCTCTGCCGTCCACTTTTCAATCAGTCTGATGTATTTAGCTTTGGATCTCATGTGGTCTAAATGAAGCAGTGCTGTCCAGAGTCCCTCAGCCTCGCTGTCTGCCATGTTTTGGCTCTGGAGGACGTCTGAAGTTGCGATAAGGTCAGAGAAGTTCTGCTGGAGCCACATGACCAGCTCGTGGACCATGGGCCTGGCCTGGAGACTGTGCGCTTTATTCACTACCATCTCCTTCAGCTCCTGGCACTGTTTCCTGGACAGCTCGCTGGAGCTGATGCTCACGTCCGGAGGAGCGTCTGGGTACCCGGGAGGGAGGTGAAAGGTCAGGTTCAGAGGTGTTTCCTTCTTGTCTGTCTGTACCAGTGTGTGGATGCGGTACACGAGGCCTGTCTCGGCTACACACAGGGAGAGAGGAGCAGGTCAATGCAGTGGTGCTCATAAAGCTGGACTCATTACTGGAATCGTCATATTAATAGTTCTTGTTATTTTATTCACTAATACTTTCTACAGTGTAGCTTCAAACTATATTCACCCCTTAAACCTTTACACAGTGCAACTTTCAAGCAACTGGTTGCATGCTGTGAGTTGCCTGCAACATCATTTCCATGCAACTTGACAGTTACACAAAGTAATTTAAACACAAAGTTGCATGCAACACATTTGATTACGCCACTAGTAAGCCAAATCAGCACTATTTTGCTACGTATTTGCTCGTAATCACATATTTGCGTTTTTGTATATTTTATTCCAGTTCTTTATTATTTTCTGTATCTATACATCAGTCTTTTATCAACCTATCTAAGGTTCTTTAATGTACACTTGTGTTTTTTACATGTTGTGGGTATGATAAGCCTTTGAAAATTAAGGTTTACGTAGCTGTTATAAAGTTCAAAGTGGTCCAAATCTCACTCTACACTTCTGTAATAATTTCCAGTCTTTGGCATCAAGTGAGGAGAAAATTAATAATTAAATTATGTAAATCATTGCGTAATATAACGATTTACACAGTTTGACACAAACAGCATTTAAATGTTATTACTGCTTACAGATACGTTAACTTGTTTTCGTGGCTCAGCAAACTGGCAAAATGGAAAACTACCAACTCGAGTCAGGTGGGTCTCCTTTTCAACCACTCAATAAACCATCTGCTGTTTTTTCTTGTCCATTGATCAAGTGAACGTTGATGTGATCATGTGATGTGTTATTGCCGTTTTGATTGGCTGTTTCATGAAACTTGTTTCATGAAGTGGAAACACTTGCAACTGTTACAGCCGAGTTTCAAGCGAGCTGCGGGATGCTTTTATAAGTCAAGTGCAATTTAGTTGGTTTCAAGCAACTAACGTTGCATAACGTTACAACCTTTCATACAACTATAAGGAACATGTTGCTATGAGCATGTGACGCAATATCAATGCCTTGATTGATTGGCTGTTTCATGAAACTGGTTCTACATAGTTGAGACTAGTTTCAAATAAGTTGCATGACACATTCTGCAACTTAGTTTCATGTACGTTTCAAGCAACTTAAGTTTCACCATGTAAAGCCAGCCTAAGGGCCACATGTATTTTTAGTGATTATTATTAGTAGTATTATTATGATTATTATTATTATTATTATTATTATTATTATTGCTATTATTATTGTTATTATTGTTATTGTTATTATTATTATCACCTTTGCAACACATAAATCAAGTACGTATTTATGTATAAATGTGTTCTTTGGATCAAATTTTCATATAATACCTTGCAAACAGGTCTAAATGAATGAATTAATTGTCTTTGTAAACTTGAAACTTCATAATTATCATTTCCCAAAACCCAAAAAGGAAGAACTATTAAACAGCCAGAAAACACAGCAAATGAATTCATTAGAGCCACCAGGAGTGACTAATGTGATCATTAACACCCATTAAAAATCTCTGTTACAGCTTTCTACAAAATCATTTGAAACATATTAAGTTTCACATCATTATCATCACATTATAGTCATTCTATCAATGTATCAGCTATAAAACTGGCTTTACATCACAGACAACTTTGATCCTAAACATCTGAGCTCCAGAGCAGATGAGGATGAGGATGAGGCCATAAAAATACAGAGTGAAACAGTAACTCCCTGCTTAGCCAAAGACGGTTTATGAGGAGCCTGGTGTCTTCCTATTTGTTATATCAAAAACATGACTCCTAAATGCCAGAGGGCACCTGTGAGCAAGTCCTTAGTGAATGAGAGTAAATGGAGCTCAACAGCTAAAAACGAAAAGTTTAAATAGTTTCTAAAAAAGCCCAGAACGTTCCTTTAATTTTGGAAAGTAGACAGATGTATTTCACTAAAAAAACAAAGAAATCTTACCTATGTATTTCCGTTTTTCTACAGCAAATGGGTTTTGGGCAGCAGGACCTGGCATCAGAGAACTTGTAGAGAGGAGAATTACCGCTCTGCCATGTCTTACGGTTTTCTCAAACACTAGAGGGCGCTCCAGAGTGAGTCCAAAATGAATGGGTTGATATGGAGCATTTGAGCAAAATCATAGTTTATAAATGCTTAAACATTTCTAATGTAAAAGAATACAATCATTTCCTGAACACAGAGCAGCATAAATCATTTTAACACTGCTGTTAGAATTTAAGAGCTTTTAAACTCGAGTTATAGGAGTTTAAAAGGACACCTCATGTACGTCCATGACGTCTGTTAGCCAATGAGCTGCTCCGCTCGCCAATCAATCATCACTCTCTAGCACTAATGCCCGCCTCCTGCTGCCCAAAACCCGTTTGCTGTAGAAAAAAGGAAACATACAGGTGAGTTTTCTTTGTTTTTTTTAGTGAAATCCATCCTTCTACTTTCTAAAATTAAAGAAACGTTCTGGGCGAGTGATTAGAAACTGTTTTAACTTTTCGTTTTTAGCCGTTGAACTCTATTTACTTCCATTCACTGAGGACTCACTCGCAGGCGCCCTCTGGCATTTAGGAGTCATGTTTTCGATATAACAGGGGAAATAGGAAGAGGCCAGGCTCCTCATAAACCGGCTATGCTGGCATTACTGCTACTGAGTGCTGATTGGTTGGCGAGCGGAGCAGCTCATTGGCTGTTCGCGCTGACTGACGTCATGAATATACATGAGGCGCCGTTATAAACTCCTTTAAGTCGAGTTTAAAAGCTCTTTAAAATATAACAGCGGTGTTAAAATGTTTTATGCTGCTCTGTGTTCAGGAAATGATTGTATTCTTTTACATTAAAAATGTTTCAGTATTTATAAACTATGATTTTGCTCAAATGCTCCACATCAACCCATTCATTTTGGACTCAGTCGGGAGCGCCCTCTAGTGTTTGAGAAACCCGGAAGACATTACAGAGTGGTAATTCTCCTCTCTACAACACATCTTATTCTACTGTATTCATTCTAAGAATTTTTGGTATGATGCAATGAAGGATATTGGACAAAAAATGATGATGTTTTTTGATATTTTATTTTATTATAAAGACTCCAATAAGGACATTTGCTACTTGCTTAATCTGTTCATTCTACTTGGTAAATATTTCATCCATAAAATGAAATTTGCAAAGAGAATCCCATTTTACAGTGCATTTAAAAATAACTTTTACAATCATATCTCCTCAATCCAGTATATGTATTGTAAAAAAACAGCTAAGCTAATGACCGTATTGAGAACATACAACGTTGTCTGAAGACTTGTTCCACTAACTTACCTCATGCAAGATGTGATAATCTGCTTTTCAGTTTATGAATGTACTTTATTCGTTATTTATATAGTCGTGGGCTGGAGGCTAGGGAACCAGCCTTGTGACTGGAAGGTCGCCAGTTCGATCCTCTCAGCTGACAGTACGTGACAGACTGAAGTGCCTTTGAGCAAGGCACCTAACCCCCAACTGCTCCCTGGGCACTGTGGATAGGGCTGCCCACCGCTCCGGGCAAGTGTGCTCACTGCCCCTTAGTGTGTGTGTTCACTAGTGTGTATGTGGTGTTTCACTGCACGGATGGGTTAAATGCGGAGGTCTAATTCCGATGTGTTCAGACACAGTTGGCTAAAAAGGTTCATATATATATGAATGATATATCACTTTTTTATAGTATTCTTAATTTCCTTTATTTACATTTTTGACTTCTCATTGTTATACTGAAACCCTGTCTCTGATAATTGCTTATTCCTCTAGCAATAAAAAAATTAAAAATTAAAAATTAAACATTCTCCTCTCTCCAGGTTCTCTGGCTCAGCCCCTAACAGAACCTGCTGAGTGGCTGGCTGGGGCTACACCGGCGTGGTTTCAGGTGCTCTGGGTTACCTGACTCCTCCATCACCTCAAACTCGTCCTTTCCGCAGAAAATCGCAGACAGAACCGACAGTTCATCCAGAACCTCCTCACACATTTCAGCAGAGAGAATTTAAAAGAAGAGTTTCAGTTTCAGAACCAGTTTCCCGAACCGAGCTCAGCTGTAGAGCCGCTGTAAACACAGACCACGTGGGCGTGTGATGGTGTGGAAACATTTAAAGCCCGTGCTGCAACACTGAACTACAAATACTCAGTTCCGAGTGTGTACAGTTACAGACTGTAGTCCATCTGTTTCTCTGCATACTTTGTTAGCCCCCTTTTACCCTGTTCTTCAGTGGTCAGGACCCCCATGGACCCTCACAGAGCAGGTACTATTTGGGTGGTGGATCATTCTCAGCACTGCAGTAACACTGACGTGGTGGTGGTGTGTTAGTGTGTGTTGCACTGGTCTGAGTGGATCAGACACAGCAGTGCTGCTGGAGTTTTTAAAACACTGTGTCCACTCACTGTCCACTCTATTAGACACTCCTACCTTGTCAGTCCACCTTGTAGATGTAAAGTCAGAGACGATAGCTCATCTGCTGCTGCACAGTTTGTGTCGGTCGTCCTCTAGTCCTTCATCAGTGGTCACAGGACGTTGTTGGCTGGATATTTTTGGTTGGTGGACTATTCTCAGTCCAGCAGCGACACCGAGGTGTTTAAAAACTCCAGCATGTCTGATTCACTCGCACCAGGACAACACACACTAACACACCACCGCCACCATGTACACGTGTGAAGTCATATGTAAACATATGTATCATATGTAAAAGTTAAGTTTGCACACTCCTATGTTTTGTTGCCGAGTTTAACACTTTATTCTCTACAGAAAACAAACTTCTGCAATTTTTAATACACAATAAATGTTTATGTTTATATAAAAGTTTGAATTGCATATTTTTTCCAATATGTTAAACAGCAAATACTCAGAAACGGTGCACTAAATTTGCAGAGAGTTTGTTTCAGGGTGTTCAAACTGCATTTTTTCCTCTGCACTATTATTTAGCACCAGCTAATAGCAGACAGTGTTGAAGTCAATAGAACTAAGCCATTCATACAGATTACATGTTTTTAAAGAGACCAACGCCAATTTTAAAGAAAGAAATAAACACATATGCAGAAAAAAGAAATTATTTACTAGAGACTATACATCATTCTTTCAGTAAAATCAGTATTTAATTAGTACATATTGGTACAGCAGAGTAAATCAGTGAGTAAGTTCAGCTCCGAGTCTAGTCCAACACTTACAGCTATGAGTATCTCAATATTCTATTAAACTATTGGTATAACTGGAATAGAGCTGGAGCTTCACCTCCGACTGCACAGCTCTAACAAATTTGAACAGAGAGGAGAAACAATATATTACAGTATCTTACAACTTTTTTACACATAATTACTTCCGAACAATCAGCATCTTCCTCAAGAACCACAGTCTGTTTTCGTATGACTGATTCTACATATCGCTGCTGTCTGAACAAAACCTTGCGTCTCCAAAATAGCAACTTTACAGGAGAAGGAAAAAAACATAGTTTAATTTTAATGTAAGTCAATGGAACCAGACTTTTTGCTACATCATTTTGGGCCGTTTCTTTTGGTCCGTTCATCATGAAATTAACCCGTAATGTAAACGACAACAGGCACTTCCAAATTATGTCAAATACTGAAAAATGACAAAAATAGACACACAAGGTTTTTGTTCCAACAGCAGCGATATTAAATAATAACACATCATAGATCGTTGCAGTTTAATGAACATTTCTGAAATCTTTATATTTTTGTCTTAGAGTTGATTTTTTCATGAATAAACTGTCCAAACAGTAAAGAGTGATCATGAAGGGGAATTCCACCATTTTTTCCAAAAGTATGAATTCACTTGATGTAAACAAAGTCATTCAGAGTAGAATTCTATTCATAACCATTTCTGTGAGGGAGCTTTTAGAGGCGGACGTCTGGTTCCTATCACCACCACTTCTGACTAAGTTTCTCAAGAACAGAGCATTTCACACCAAACCACTCTGAATGACTCCGTTTACAATTTAACCATCTCAACCATTTAACTATGTAGAAATCTATAAAAATCAGTGGAATTCCACTTTAATTGTCATGAGGTTTATCCTGTTATCATCAGAATCTGCAGCATATGAAGCGAAAGCGCTGATATAACCTTACAGTCAACTTTCTCACTGGGAAGTTTACATTCTACTAATGTACATTAGCTCGAATCACACTTACAGCCCATAATAACATGGCATAACCTGAATAGCAACCACTGCTAATTAGTGCAGGACATTGCATTCTTGTGCATAAGAGGCAAAGATGAGGTCATCTCAGCATCTCCTGTCAAACCGAGTAAGTAAGCCAGAGTGTTATTAATAAATATATTTTAATATAAGTCCTATCTACTCGCAGTAGAACAGGTTCATGAGGACGTCCATCTCCACCAGGCCACCTTCATACGATCCCACACGGCCTCTAAAGAGTCAAACGCTGGACGGACGTCTAGGATGGTGTGACTGGATCCCTGACCTCCATCGTAGTAGTCTATCACATATCTGACCTCTTTTCCACATCGGTTAACTATCCAGTCGTGCCGGTCAAATGGAAGCTCATGCCTGCAGCAACAGAGACATGAAAGAGAAAAACAGTGTAGTTTATTGTCAGCACTGTGCAAAAATCAGAGACCACCCTGTTAATATATAGTAAAATCATACGATCATCAACAACTAAAGAGATATATATATATATATATATATATATATATATATATATATATATATATATATATATATATATATTTTAATATTTAAATACTTTTGTTTAGTATTTAGTGTGTCCACTCTACCTTTATTACAGCTTCCATTCTTTTCAGGAGACTCGCTGAGTTTTTAAAAGAAATCTGTTTTTTTTTCACACCTACAAAGTTCAGTCTTAGACGTTGGTTGCATTTTTTGTTTCTCACAATACATTTAATCCCAATGACAAATTTAGACCCATCAGCCTGTAAAACCTTACTCCACATCTCAGATGTTCACTTTTGGTGTTAAGTGCAAACATTCTTCATCTTCTTCTTCTTTGTTTGATGTGTCCGTCTCCTTTTCTCAGTGAGGTTCTTCTTGACAGCTACACATCCTTTCAGACCCACAGCGCTGAGTCGTCTTCTCACAGTGGAAGGATGGACAGAAACACCTGTGGATGTTTTCAGATCTGAAGCAGCTTGATTTTCTCCTCTCTCTCAGAGATGAAAGCTTTAAGTGCTGTTTATCTGATGGGGACCGTTTGGTCTGTCAGGTCTTGTAAAGTTACTGGGGAAACTTTTTTCCAATTTTTTGGAATCTTTCCATTTCTTATACATGCAGACTACACTCTCAGATATAAAGGTACTAAACTGTCACTGGGGCAGGACCCTCAAGAGGTACGTCTCAGTACCTTTAGTCGGGGGAACATAACTGTACCATAATCCACTGAAATGATATTTTCTAAGTTGTATTGACTCCACACACCCCGTCTCGCCTCCAGGCTTTTTTTTTGTTCTGTTTTAAAACTTTTTTACCTGGAAAAACTTATTTAAGGTTCACAGTTGGACCTTAAAACCACTGTTGTACCTTTGAGGGAACATTTACATTGTTTTTACCTCGATGAACGAAAAATGTACCTGCACAGAACCTTTATTTCTAACAGTGTATATTATATCCAGTTTCCTCAGAAATATCTCCCAACAAAAAAAATCAATAACTTGTACTTAATGGCCATTTTGACCTGAAATTAAACAAATGATGGGTGGTCTCTGACTTCACAGTGACAGTGACAGTGACTCACCCCATCCAGTGACGAAAACGGGCTCTTGGAGTGAAATCTTTCGCTTTGCCTCCAAACCTTAGAAGAGAAGGTCCACACGGGCACTCTCTGTGGGGGAGCGTACAGAATCATGACTGATCAATAACTCTACAGGCTCCAAGAAAACAGTATAGGTAGATAACAGGGTTCCTCTTGACCTACTTTAAATGCAGTGCCTCCCATCTCAGGATCTCCTTCCATGCCTGTTCATTGTTCTGGTTGTGAATCCTAATGATGTTTTTCATGTCTTTCTGAGAGATGTCTTGCTCTCTCCAGCGCCACCTGGTGGACATTTTAAGTACATCGTATTCATTCAATGATCACATATGACTGAAGATTAATTAGCTGGCTTTGAGTGAGGTACATATTATCCTTAAAAAAAAACAATAATGCAAAAAACAATGAAAAAAGAAATTTTCCCTTGAATGAAACTGTACGAGATTCTGTTGCAAAGCTAAAACCAGCAGCAGCTCCCATCTTGCAGCTTAAATTGTGTCATACTTTTGACCATTTTTAAAGAGTACATCAAACAGTGCCAGAAACCTGAGCAAGTCTAATAGAGATTACTCAACAACTCCACACGGTTTAAGTCACATGTGTCAGGCTCCAGACCTCGTGGGCCAAAACACTGCACCAGCACAGCCTTTACGACTGAATTCAGAATGTCAGATGAGGGTAAACGCTGATCTCCGCAGCACTTTGGCCTGGAAGGTCCCCAGGGTTGACATGCATGGTTTAAAGCAAGTGTGGTGATGATTTAAGCATGCAGGTAGCAATGATGCTAATTGGTGAGCCATAAAGTTCCATTACTTGTTAGCAACAAAAGTGGAGGGGGGGTTGGGACAGGGATCAAACTTAAATATGGCATTTTTCTGCAAATGTCACAGCACAGTTTCTATTTATTTACTACATTTAATATACTGGGGGAAAAGAAAAGTCACACATACACACACACCATCTAAACCACTTATCCTCCTGGGTTGCGGTGGGGGAGCTGGGGCCTATCCCAGCAGTCATTGGGTAGAAGGCAGGAAACACCCTGGACAGGTCGCCAGTCCATCGCAAGGCAGACAGACAACACTCACACCTAGGGGCAATTTAGCGTGTCCAATTAGCCTGACTGCATGTCTTTAGACTGTGGGAGGAAACCCACTCAGACACGGGGAGAACATGCAAACTTCACCCAGAAAGGACCCTGGTCGCCCGGCCGGGGAATCGAACCCAGGCCCTTCTTGAGCCGACAACGCAAGCCACATTTTATGTTCAGCTTTTCCCCCCTAATATGTTAAACTGAGCAAATAAACACTAACTGTATATTAAACTGTGCTGAAGTGTGCTCTCTGTAGAGGACGTCATAACTTATTGTCACTTAGAAAATCAACAAACCATGGAATTTGAGCAGGAAAGGCCCAAACTTTCGCTTGTGACTGTATTTACTGAACTACCACTCTGATATCTACTTACCCTTTCCTTAGCATAGCGTTCCAGAACATCTGCTCAGATGGGTAGACCCAGTTCTGACCTGAACTGGCACGAGGGATAGTAGACTCCTCTCTTTTCACAGACAGAGAAAAAGGCTGACCGGGCGAAGGCTGCTGATTAGGTGGAGGCATCTGAAATGGACAGGACAAATTTGGAATTGAGGCCACTGGCTTCAACAGAAGGGGAGCAAACTCCTAAATATTTTAGCCTAGTCACAATTACTTGGGTTTAAAAAGATTAATGAATGCCAGCATTTACATGTATTTTTTGGCATCACATAGTTTTCATTGAGGACGCACGGATATGGGCATTCTGGGCTGATGCTAATATACAATTTTTTTTTTTCGTGTACATATCGGCCAATGCGATACATTAACATTTATAAAATACAGAAACCGGGAATAAACACACAAGCATATAACGTGTATTTCTGTAGACTTACAAGCACATTAAAATAAAAAAAACACAGATATTTTAGCCCAGTAACCCCACGTCACCTAAACATTCTGCTCCTCTGAAATGCAATAAATGCATAACAGTCAAAATCATCTGTAGATTTGATCTACTATAATCCATAGCGACAGGATTTGCTGTACCATATTAGCAGGGTCGATGTCGTGTGCTGTGGGTCTGCCTCCACCAGCAGCTCTCATAGGACACTCCACAAATTCATAGGCCCTCTCCTGATGTGCTGGAACATCTGGAACGCTCTTTGGATGCTCTTTAGCTGACGCCTGGTGCATGGGGCACCCAGGTGGAGGTGCACCTGGAAACAAAGACACAAACTTAAGGCTGAACAGTTGGAAAACAGAGTACAGGATCCCCAGTTTCCCCTCTGGGAGTATAAAGTACATCTATCTATATCTCTTATTTAATTCAGGTAGAGCTAATTACTGGACAGTTTAACTAAATTAATACAATTAAACAGCAAGGAGAACTTACTTTTTTTGGTGTCCTGGTGCATGGGGCAGCCTTGTGGAGCTTGGCCTAGGTCAGGCATTACGAGGCCCTCTGCTTTGACAGTGCCCAAAGGACTGGACATGGTCTCTGCCTAATCTGAACCTAGCAGGCAAACACAGCACAGTCACTATAGTCACCTATGATGCACCACTGCTGATACAGGTGTTCACACAGCTTGTATAATCTCAATAGAAAAGCACTGTTAATAGAATGGGATGCTCTGGAACATCAAGTGTCGAACTAGAGGGGAATAAAGCCCCCCAGCATTGGGCTTTGGACCGCACTGCAAAAATGGTATCAAAGTAAAATTACCTTAAGACAACTCAAAATATCTAACATTTCAATTTTTGAGATGGTTGTAGAAACATAAGATAAGAAAGAAGATACTTCTTATTATATTCCTACAACCAGCTCAAAACTTGAAATATTAGATATACCGAGTAGTTTTACAATAATTTTGCTTGACCATTGTTGCAGTGCAGCGACACTGTGCTGGAGTTACTGAACTCCATCCAGCACCTTTGGGATGAGTTGTAGTGATCCAGAACTAATTATCCAACATCAGTACATGACCTCACTAATGCTCTTGGGGCTGAATGCAATCAAATCCTCACAGCAATGTTCCAACATCTACAGGGGTGCTCAATCCTGGTCCTGAAGAGTTTAGCTCCAACCATATTTTAAAGAATAAGTTTTAGACCAAAATCTGATCTCAAAACTATCGCAAAACAACGTCTCAGACATCAGGCGGTGAATTCATCACCTAACAGCTCTTTGTGAGGGAGCTTTTAGAGGTGGACGTCTGGTTCCTATCAACACCACTGTAAACAATTCTGATTCTGTAAGTTTCTCTAGAACTGAATATTTTACATCAACTGCTGTGAATGAGTTTGTTTACATCTTAATGGTTTAATTATTCAGAAAATTTGAAAAATCAATGGAGTTTCCCTTTAAATGTAACATCTTTATCCGCTAATTAAAAGAGACCTGAGCACAATGAAAAGTATTATCATTAGGAAATTGTAAAAGTGTATTTAAGTGGAAAATTGTAAAAGTGTATTTAAGTGGAAAAAACTGAGTTAATAGGCTACTACACGAGGCTGAAGTTGGCTTCATATTTGAATTTTTCCGTTCCACCTTAAATAGAAAATTGTATTTATTTCCCGTTCCACCTTAAACAGAAAACAGAAAATTGTATTTAAGTGGATAAAACTGAGTTAATGTCACTAGTCAGGCTACTACACGAGGCTGAAGTTGGCTTTGTATTCAAATTTTTCCGTTCCACCTTAATTAGAAAATTGTATTTAATTCCCGTTCCACCTTAAACAGAAAACAGAAAATTTTATTTAAGCATATAAAACTGAGTTAATGTCACTAGTCAGGCTACTACACGAAAGCTGAAGTTGGCTTCCTATTCGAATTTTTCAGTTCCACCTTAAAAGAAAATAGAAAATTGTATTTAATTTCCCGTTCCACCTTAAACAGAAAACAGAAAATTGTATTTAAGCATATAAAACTGAATTAATGTCACTAGTTAGGCTACTACACGAGGCTTAAGTTGGCTTCCTATTTTCTATTTAGGTTAATTTATTCTGAATGTAACTGCTGCACCATTTAAGGTGGAACGGGGGAATTCGAACTAGAAGCCGGCTAATAAGAAGCTGACTTCAGCTTCGTGGCTACTACCTACTTCTCAGTTAGCCTGGATAATACCTTCAGCATTGTAGACATCGTTGTAGCTCAATATTAATATTTTCAGTCATTATTATGACAGTTTTTATTTTCTGGACTTAGTCTGAACGAACATGTTACACAAAAGTCCTTGCAGTTTTTACAGCAGTCACATAACACAGGAGACCGGAAGCCGACTGTACTGAACTGTACACATTAAAAGACCTGAATAAATTACCTTTATCTTACAGTCAGATCTCGTCTCGTCCCTTCGGTAGATTAATATTTCTGTTTATAATTCAACCCAAGACCTTCTCAATGTCGCCACATTCACACTGCACACAGCATGCTGACCTACTGGTGAACTACAGGGATCTGCGCCTCTATACTGCCACCTGCTGGATTGGAGTGCAGCTGGATTGGACAGTATAACAGGAGCTCCACCATTTTTTCTAAATTTTCTGAATAATTAAACCCGTGGGACGTAAACAGAGTCGTTCAGGGTGGTTTGATGTAAAATGCTCCATTCTAGAGCAACTTACCTACTCAGAATTGCTCACAGTGGTGGTGATAGGAACCAGACGTCTGAAGGGTTAAATGCATACTGTAATTTAGGATTAAAGGGAATTAAACCAATGCTTAATTCCATTCTTGAGATGCCGTTCAGAGTGGTTTGATAAGAAATGGTGATTCTGTAGAGAAACTTAGCCACAAAAACCAGAGGTTGTGACGTCTACAATGCAAACACAGCCTTTTTATTTACTGAAACAACCTATATATGACAACATACATGAGTTATTATATGTGATCCTGATGATGGCAAAATAGTGGTAAATCTGAAAAACAGTGTTTTCTTTGGGGACTATTTCGCTCACAACACCCTACATGCACCTCCCCACCATGAATGGAAAGAATAAAAAAAAATCAGGTTTTCCATAAAGCTTCTTCAACTATCATAAAGCAATGTCTCAGATATCAGGGAGCGTATTTCCAGATAGGAAGCATATATTGGTCCGCTGGTTTGATAAGGTTGGCACTCCGCTGACTGTATACCGTTGCCGGTAAACCATCGGACCACCAGATTACTGTCCTGCATACAAAGTCTAACTGGTTTTTAATGTCATCAAACAGATTTTAAATGCACACAGTCTTTTATTTTGGAAAATAATCAAGGCGAATATTACAAAATTATATTACAAAAACTGGGGGGAAATAATGAATGACTGACCTCCTATAAAATGATTTGAGTGAAAATGTTACTGACACTGTGCTAGATTGGTTATAGCTGTATAACCCACTGTATAACCCACTGTTTTCTGTGGTAAACTAATTTACAACAGAACACAGAAGAAACAAATGAAGGAAAAAACAGTAAATTGGACTGTGAGTTGAAAAACAGTGAAGTGGCAGTTTGTGTGACACTCTGCTTAACCACCAGAGGGCGACATCAAGTATGCTAAGCAAAAAGCCAGTGGGCCACCAGCTTTGCCATCAGTGGGCCAACAGCAGCTCACTATCCTCTCACTATCTGAGTTCATGTCCATCTAACGTAATAAACTTCTGTGAGGGAGTTTTTAGCTGATCCAAGAGCGGCTCTGTGGTCAGAAACTGACCAGTGATGAAGAGCCAGAGGATCACAAATCCAAACTGCATCAACAGATGATCTACAGTCAAGGTGGAGCTACAAGAGAGGGGTTTCTGATAAAGTGGCCACTGAGTGTACCGCTTCATTGTCTGCTTGTTTTTGGTAGTTTATACTAAAGAAACTGTTTATATCTTGCATTAATTAAGATCACCTTGTATTCTATAAACATTCACCATGTATGTGGTGTTGATGTTGTTGTTACTCAGTGGTCTGCTGGACCCACCGCATTACTGTGTTTTTAAATCAATACAGCCAAAACAATTTGTGTAAAAATACCAGATGTTTAAAATATCACAAGTGTCCAGCGTAGGGTTCTCCTTTAGCAGCTGTAGCCAATCAGCAGCCTGTCCATGTTGTCCACCCTCACACACACACATACACACACACTAACAGCAGGCCTTGTAGGAGAAGAACAGAGTGAAGGACACAGCACCTCCACACTTTTACTCCCCGCGGGTTCACCCAACACCACATGTGTAATATAAACGTGTGGGGGGTGAACAGAGTGAAGACACTGAAAATGGGTTATTTAATATGTTCTTCACAGAAAATGAGCAAAGGACAAGAATCTGAGGTTGAAATAATAATAAATCACCTTATTTTTTTCTTTTGGTAAACATTGAAAATGGGTCCCACAGACCTGAACACCACACAAGGGTTAAGAAGGTCAAAGTGGCATAAAAAATAAGATTCAGAAAATATTCTGCACAAACAAAAAGATTTATTCAGACTTTTATTTTAAAAAATGTATTTTCTCAGACATGCTTACTTATAAAGGTTACAGCGATTAAGTCCGTCCCGTTTTCAGAGGCTTTTTGTACTTTCATACACCAACACCACCGCTGTTCAATATAAAGCTGATTCACTGGAAAAACTCTGAACTGCAAAGTAAATCAGGCCTCATTTACTTGCAGTTAAAACTTCAGCACTTACTCTGTAATTTCACTGTTTCCAGGAAAGTCTTACATCACCCAGCCTTACATACTACGTTTTTCATTAACACGCTTTCACTGTATCATTCGTATCATATTGTAGAGCAGATTGTCTTACATAGACAAACTTTGCTTCAAAGGCCGTTTACAATTAGAAAAAAATGACACCATATATTGAGTACGTACTTTCTAGCTTATCCATAATACCATAATATCCATAATAATCAGTTCATATAGGCATGCATGGTCCCTGTAGTGTGACCGTCGTGTCCGTCTCGTCCATCTCCTAAGCTGTAGAGCCACATTCTCTTAAATGTGGTTAAAATGTGCTGTTGCTGTGCTGTTTATTGCATCCGTTTCACTGAAGGCAAATGTGGTTTTCGCTCCATAGCAGCTTAGCAATGATTAGTGTAACCACAATCATTGGGTTTGATTGTCCATATATATTTATCCTTGACCCTCAATGGTGGAGAGAGAGTTATCAGTTCACCAGTGTGCACATTAAAACTGTTTGCACAAGCGTGTAGCCACAGTCAACAACCAGCAGGAGCAAGCTTCAGTAAGATTTTTTTTGTCTTATTAAAGGGGAAGTCCACCAACTGTTCAAAATTTTCAGCATAATTCAGAGGTTAAGATGTAAACAAAGCCATTCAGAGTGGTTTGGTGTGAAATTGGTCACTGTAGAGAAACTTACAGACTTCTTTACAGTGGTGCTGACAGGAAACAGGGGTCACCATGACTACAACACAAATGTAGCCATTTTATTTACTATCCAAAACCACCAGTCAACCTACATGAGTCTTCTGGGTGTTTACATTTAATGTTGATGATGGTAAAAAGTTTTCTTTGGGGACTATTTTGCCTCACAACACCCTGCATGTACCTCTCCACACTGTGTGTATTAAAAAAAAAGAAAAAAAAGGAAACATAGGCAAAAGACATTGAAAAAGTATCATAAAAGATTGTCTCAGACATCAGGCAACATATTTGTAACTATTTTGTGTAATAGCTTCCAGTGAGGCATTAAATACTCAGGATCCAACCCAATCTTTGCTACTCTGATTTAACCTTAACAGTTGAATGATGCAGAAATTGAAAACAATTTGGTGGAATTCCTGTTTTAGTTGAGCCCTGTGATGGCGTGTGTGTTTAAAATAGGTAGATAGAAGATACTCCACCTTCTCAGTGGAACTTGACCCAAAACAGAATTAAAAATGACTTGCTTGGTGGTTTCTGCTACTTCTGCTGAGGTGCTGCCTGTAGAGGGCGCTGTTACAGAAACTGAGGCGAAGTATTTCTGGATGCGTTACACCATTCAAGCACCGAGGCCCAAACCTATTTTACCCCTTGCCCCTACCACTTAGCCCCTTACTCCTCTGTTTTGCATGTTCATGTCTAGGGGGTAGGGTGTCCTGGTTTTTGCTGAGATAGAGGGGTAGGGTGAAGTGTTAGGGCTACACGGACCCTCCAAACAGAGGTTTTTCAGAGACTCACTCTAAACAGAGTGTTATGAGAAAAAAAAATACATAAATCAGCAAGATGGCTGTGCAAGCGACCAAAGAAACCCACAAATGTGAGTATTTTCTCTGTTAAAAAATTACGGTAACCTCTGTATCATCTTAGTTTAAATTTCCAGTTCCACCTTAAATTACATGCAACAGGAAAATTCAAGAAGCTGGTGAATATCTGACTTCAGCTTCATATAACAGAAAAAATAGGGGTGGGCGATAATAAAAAATTGTCATTCCCCCTCTTTGAAGTCATATGATGTCCTAAATGTAACTAAAGTCCAGCAGTGAGGAGCTGAACTTTACCCTCCTCTGCTATCACTGCAGACTGGCAGGGTCGCCTACCGAGCAGTGCCAGTAGCTGTTAATGAAATAATGCTCTTTTTATTTGAGGGTCCCATTTCGTAGGGCAAGATTTCAACCACTACCCCTTGTAACTCAGCCCCAAGTGGCAAGATGACACTGGAAAAGAAGGGGTAGGGGTAAAAATAAGAAATGAAATTGGGCCCAAGTCTTGCATGAGCCAAGTTTTGGTTTTGAAACAATGACTGTATATATGTCACATATACAGTATATACAGTACTGTGCAAAAGTCAGAAACCAACTTTCATGTATTTTATTTCCAGGCAAAACAGCCGTTAAGTATAAGTTATTCGATTTTGGGAGATATTTCTGGGGAGATTACATATAAGATAATCCACTAATATAACGAAGGAGAAAGGCAAAGGAAAACAAGTGAAAAAAATGATTAAAAGCTTCAGAGAAAATGACCGACCACCAACACTGCCCCCATCAGATAAGCAGCACTTAAAGCTTCCATCTCTGAGAGAGAGGAGAAAATCAAGCTGCTTCAGATCTGAAAACATCCACAGGTGTTTCTGTCCATCCTTCCACTGTGAGAAGACGACTCAGCACTGTGGGTCTGAAAGGATGTGTAGCTGTCAAGAAGAACCTCACTGAGAAAAGGAGACGGACACATCAAACAAAGAAGCTGAACAATGGACTGACCACCCCAGAGTCCAGACCTCAACAGCACTGAATGGGTTTGATTACTTCAGAAAATGATCAACCAGCTTCTAAGACTGAACTTTGGAGGTGTGTAAAAATATCCCTGCAGATGTTTTTGAAAAACTGAAAGCGAGTCTCTGGTAAAGAATGGACGCTGTAATAAATGCAAATGAATACCAAAAAAAAATAAATAAAAGATATTAAATTTAGTTGTTGAGGCTTCTGTGTAATTTTCTGTGTAATGAAACATGTTTTCTGCATTTTTTCCTGGGTCTGAAAAATTGACCTAATGGCTGTTTTGACTGGAAATTATATAAACACATTTAGCCTATATATGATTATATAGCATCATTATGAATATATGAGCCATATATCCAGGTCATTAATATTTAAAACAGTCTGAAATGAGGAGGGTGGACACGCTTGGTGGAAGGTTTCTGTTTCATATCGTTTCTTTCTCTCTCTCAGTCCGTCTTTGTTGCTTTTTGGCATCGGCTGGAGCGTAGCACTTTGAGGCAGCCTCGGAGGATCTTGCGCATCCACATGACGTTCATGACGTCCAGGCAGAGGCTGCAGAGGAGCCAGGCACTGCGGGCCCCCAGGGGGAGCCTATAGAAAGCTTCTGTCCCGTACACAGAGTACATATGGCTGTAATAGACTGGAATGACTGCAATCCTCACCAGGAAAAAAGAGAAGGCCATAGCTATGCCGTTCACGAGGCTGGGCTTGGAAAGCTTGTGGTAACCCAACACCTGAAGAAACCATCTGAAAAACAGGATGTGGACAGAGGTGTAAAAGGACCTTGAGATAATAACTCTAATAAGCAGCTAAAGGTTGCTGTGTGTACTGTACATGTGATATTACGTGGCATACGCACCGCTGGTTCACAAAGGGGGTGGAAAATTCAGAGAGCAGCCGGAAATTTGCAAAGTAGGGCAATAATCCCTGACTCTAAAAGGCAAAATACGCAATGTGAGACGACAAAGGCTGAGATACAGCTTCAATAAACTGGAGTTAAAGGTAAAACCAGGCAAAGGTACTTTACCACAGATAATATATTTTCTATAACACAGTGAGGAAGGGGTGACAGACGTGTTGTGTTCTATGGTGGTGCAGGTCGTTCTCCATTTGGAGTGGGAATTCAGGTGGATACATTTTTTTAAAAAATCAGTGTCTTTCATCCCAAAACTAAATAATCTTGATATGTCCATTAACATCTCTTATTGTCATAAATGCAGAAAGGAGCTTAATTCCAAACACATTTTACAGTCACTGATGTTGTATGAATATGGTGTAACACCAGTGACGGTGACTCCAGTGACATTCTGGTTATAACTGAGGATTTTTAAATTGGCTGACTCATTAATGGTCAGGTGACCTTGTGTATTTAAAATCAGTAATAAAAATGATATATAGCACTATTTTTTTTACAAAATTTTATTACACAGCCATTAAAGCACAAAACACCGGTGACACATAGAAGTTATGAGCTGCCTGATAAACAAAATTATTAATAAATTAATTTAATATAGTGAGCAAGTGTGACTCGCCTTCTCATGCCTTGAGATGCTTCCTCTCTAAAGAGGCTCGACCCAAAGAAACAGTTTAATAGAGCTGAAAATACTGTGTTAAAATGTAATATAGGAGTCCTGGTAACACTAGTGACCAAAATCTCAATGAAATCAAATGAATTTTTAAAATAAAATCATATTTTTAAATGTAGTATAAAGTCAATGATATATAAAGTAAACATGAATCTGTTTTATACAAATTCCTAAGTTAAACCTCTTAAAATGATTGTTTTATATTAAAAATGGTTTCTCAGATGCTGAAATTTAGTTTTGTGACGAGCTGTTTTACAGATGCAGAGCGAATATAAAACAGGATAAACAAAGAAAAATCAGAGAATCATAAGGGAAAAGTGTTATTTAATCTTAGATCAACTGTGTAAATGTACATACTGACTTTTGGAGCTGTGCCTAATATTGTGAGCATCTTTTTAAGCCCTGCAACCTTTGTGACATGGTTACCCACTCCAAATGGAGAATGACCACATTGATTCATGGTAGGGGTGGGCAGTATGACAAAAAATACAATATCACAGTACTAAGACATTTTCACGATAACAATACATATCACAATGTTCAGTTTTTCCAATGTTTGACAAATTAAAAGTGAAAAATTCCAAAACTACAAATACAGAATATTTAATTCAACATTTCACAGACTTTATATCACCTAATTTACTTATCACGCTCTCTTTTTTTAAAGAAACATGCAGTTGATCAATGATATCTAGTTTCGACCTTGTTTGTTTTGTTTCAGCTTTCAACACACCAGGTAGCTTTTATAATTTTATTTATAATTTTTTTTGGTTTGATATACTATATAAATATGTTCCATTCATGCTCCAGTTACAGGTAGTGTTTCAGCTTGAACTGCTTTTGGAATAAGGGCCAAAACAGGGCAGCCAATCAGAACAGAGCTCATTTAACTCATATAGGTCTTAAAGATGCAGAAACAAAAATGTGACGTGTTGAAATGTGCACAGCTTTCCAGAACTCACTGAATGAGTCAGTATCTGTTTTTATTTAAAACACTCACCAGCACATAGTAATAGGCATAAAGAGCAGCAAGGTGATGTACGACAAAATACTTCTCTCCTATGAAATCCCAGAAACAGATCATCAGCAGCAGATCTGAAGAGGAAACAGAGCAGCGTGTCTGAAGTTTAACTGACTTGGACTGAGACTCTGTTGAAACTTTACAGAATGTTTCAGTCGTGACTATTTTGACAATTTTAGCTCATTTTGAGCAGAACTCAAAAACAGTGCAAAACACAGCTTTGAACAGTTGTACACATGTAAAATCATAATCAAAATCATTCAAACAAAAAAAAGTTTACTTAATTGCAGAAAATGTGTGTTTCAGTAGTGACAGTTCTTAATGTTCCACTCTGATTTTCAGAATTTGGGACATATTTACTTCAAAACAGTGGGATCTAACTGCTCACCATGAGGCCACAAAGAACAGAGACGCAGTCTCACTTCCTGCTCTAAAATGCAGGGGCGTGGCTAAAATAAGGCTCCACCTATGGACTAAAACGTTGTGTTTCGGTGGTGACATAAAGCATAGGACAGACTCTTAGATCTTAAAAAACAGATGATGCAGAAAAATGTAAGTATTATTTTCACAAATTTAGGAGTTTGGGACAGACATCCCAACAGAAAGTGTTTAGTGTATAGATTTAGTGCATATTTAGCTTATTACTGTCTCCTTTAGTAAACTTGAGTTTAAATAGATCATAACAAAATCCTTGTAAACATATAAGATCTGAATACAAAATAGATTTTTAAAATAATTTTTTATTATGGAACCACAGTTTGAACTAATCTGGCCAAACGGTCCATAAAGGTCTGATAGACATGCAAGGTCTTTTTCATAGAAGATCTAATAGCAGTGATTAGAAGGTAAATCATTATTATACAGTGAGAATTGCATTGAAGGTACTAAATTCAAATGTGTATACACACACAGACACACACACACACACACACACACACACACACACACACAAACACACACACACACAGACACACACATTTTCTAAGCTGTGTAATCTCCTGGGTCACAAGGGGGGGGTGCTAGAGTCCATCCCAGCTGTCATTGGGCAGAAGGCAAGAAGCACCCTGGACAGGTCACCTGTTCAAATGTGTACAACATTTCCAAATTACTGAATTATAAAATTATTCCAAATTATTCCAAATTACTGAATTATTAAATTATTCACATGTAAATGAATTTGGACCAAGTAAATTCACTGCATCATTTTAAATACTCTTCGTGCTATTTTTTGAACTCTGTTAGCAGAATGGGCCGTTACCCAGTACCTGATGCACAGGCTACAAGAAAAATGATGACTTCATAGCCATTACCACTTGATGAATTAATTTCTTCTTCCTACATTTGCAGCGTTGACCACTTTCACAAGTAAGTTCTGATCTCCATAGGTGAGCCAGAGTGAGTAATTTTAGCATAGCTGCAGTTTTAGAATGTAATTGTTGTGCAGCATAATCTCCACAACGTCAGCAGAACAAGATCAGATCTTGGATCCAGTAGTATTTTTTATATGTTATCCAGTATTTGCACATTGTAATAAAGTGGAATGAAGTAGAAGCCCACCTGGAGCTTGTCTCACAAAGAAGGACTTCTGGCTTAGCCAGCTAGCTTTAAGGCTAATTCGATCCAACCCTGGATTTTCTGTCTCACAAGGATGGATCACTTTCTACCGTAAAAAACGGAAACTTATACTTCAGGCCTACTCTGTTCTAGGGCTGGAATTTCAGATTGAGCTCCTGGACCAAATAGAGCCAAGCTTCTGACCAGGCAAGGACAATGGAAGTGGGTGAGTTTTTTTCATTGAGACATTTGTGGCTTGAAGAATATCACTTTTTAGCAGAGGAACCAAAACAAATACATAAAAAATAAGGAATAAAATGCAATTATTACTCCAGTTAGCACTAACACAGTGGTATTTGAGACATGCTTGCATTTTTTACCAGTATAAATGCTTCACTTTACACATATTTATGCAAATTGCTTCTTCCTGAGCCACTCGACTCCTCCTCATGTTTCATATGATTGCATGATTGTGATAAATGTCATGCTTTCATGTGCAAACAAGGATTAATCGTAGCTTGAGTATTTAAACCTGGGATAACAGAGAAAGTTGCAAACTCTCTTCATAAAACAAGTTTCATTTTTTAGGTTTTTTGAAGCTCAAACTTGACCCTAATATGATAACAGGATTATGTTTTTCAAGTTATCCCATAAAAATGCCTATTGAAGCAACATTAACATAACATGCTCTCTGTGAGGTGAGTCGGTGACTCTGGTGTCTGTTTGTGATGGGCTAAGGTAGATAAGCCTTGGCTAGTCTGCAGCACCCAGTCTATCTGAGGCATAACACAGAGCATAAAATACCAACAGGACAAATAAGGCAAACCAGAAGCACCCAGCGAGTGAAAAAGGTGAAAATGCTTTAAAAAGCAGTAAAGGCCTCACCTGAGATGAGGTAGCCTGTGGTTATGCCCACATTCAGCTTCACCAGTGTCGGATCTCCCCTTTTGTAACAGAAGGATCAGAAAATGATCATCAGAAATGAAGACGAATGACATGGCTCTACTTTTATAACCAGCACAATCGAACATGAAGGTATGCTTACCAGACCGGGTCCTTCTTGACTGCTTCATCAAACAGCAGTATGTAGAGACACAGGAGTCCCACCACCAAGGCATGCACAGTGGAAACGGCCCTGAGCCACACACAGAAACCAAATAATAGCAACTGGAATAACAGTACAAAGATAGGGGCATGTAAAGAAATGTTATTCACAGCAAAAAGGCCTGGGTTTGATTTCCCGGCCGGGCAGCCAGGGTCCAGGAGTTGGCATGTTCTCCCTGTGTCTGTGTGGGTTTCCTCTCACGGTCCAAAGACATGCTGTTAAGAGAATTGGAGATGCTAAACAGCCCCTACGTGTGAATGTGTGTGTCTGCCCTGTGATGAACTGGCAACCTGTCCAGGGTGTTTCCTGCCTTCTGCCCAATGACTGCTGGGATAGGCTTCAGCATCCCCATGACCCAGGAGGATAAGCAGCATAGATAATGTGTGTATTTATTTATTTGTTTTCTATACAGATTTTTTTAACACTTCACTTTATATACATTATGGGTTGGCATTCTTGTTGAACACCTATGAATGAGTTCCTGTGTTTGGAGACCTACATGTTCCTAAATTCGCACAAGTAATGGAAGCTTATACCCCACTGATTGATCTATCCATGCTCCGCCCACAAATCTGGTCTTTCATACCAACCGTTGCTAGGTTATATAAGCTTTACAGAACATGTGCAAAATTCCATTCAGCCTAATGAGGAACTACCAATTAAGATTGTGATATTAATTTCAAATCATATTTATTTTGTACATGTGACGTTTTGCACCGTTATATATCACTGGATGTAGTTTTTGTTCGACCACATAAAATGACCAGGGAATATCAGAGCATCTCATTGTTGTATTGAGGAACTGCTGCACTGACAAAAAAGCCACAGTTAGGACAAAAAATGGACACACAGGCTGGCTCTACATCAGCAAAGGGGCAAGACAAGGCTGCCCACTATCCCCAGACCTGTTCAACCTGAATGCTGAACATATAATGAGAGAAGCTGGGTTGTAAGATGATGATCAAGGATTCAAAATCAGTGGAAAATCTTCCAATGTATCAACAAATATCAGAATTTTCCAAGCTGTGTTTTTTCTGGGGTTATTTGTAGATGTGAAAGCTGGACAGGAAAAATGTTGACGTCTTTGAACTTTGACGAAGACGTTTGAGAGCACCTCGGATAGCAAGGTAAACAAATGAATGAATTCTTGACCTAATCCAGCCCAGTCAACCAAACCGAAGCCCTTATTTGGAGAAAAAAAGTCATTGGGAAAAACATAATTATGCTTGGAACAGCTGAAGATGACAGTGGAAGAGGATGATGAGCAGCAACAAGATGGATGGAGACAATCAGAGGAATCATGAACCAGCCAGCCCAAACCGAAAATGGTCACAAGGAATCTGAACTAACTTGACAGCACTTAAAAAGTGTAATAATAATAGCTGACTAACTTTAGAACTAACTTCATGGTGGTGTTTCAAACCTGTGTATTCTCAGTTAGCTAGAACAATATAATCCAGCTCAGTAGCTTAGCATCTTAAACTGGAGACTCAACATCATGTAACAGATCACAACTCCAACCTAAATTCATCAGGTTGAATACCAACGTTCTAAAATGCTGGTCTAATGGCACCAGTAGCTCTGAAAGAACTCAGCTGTGCATGGACCATGGAGAGGTCAATTAGCATTGTGCTCATTAGCATCACAGCTCTAGTACAAAACTAAAGAAGCAAACTTCAGACACCAAACAGGTCCCGGCTGATCAACTACATTTGGGGCAATTGCGAAAACTGTGTTGGGGTAATTGTGAAAACTGCAGTTTGACTTTTTGCTAAACTATCACTTTAAAGAGAGTCATCTTTCATCGATTACTGTTATTAATGATATTAATATTATAATCAATAATAATTACCTGGAGTTCCACTCTGTTCTCTGAGTGTGGTTGAGTGTGAGGAAAGCTGGAGTGAGCCGTTCAGACAGCCAGGGGCTCCCTCTGTGAAACAGCCACTGAGAGGAAAAGAAACTGCCCACCGAAACCAGCAGGACCACCAGGCTCAGAGGCTCCATGGCCAGCTAGCCCTGCAGAGAGAAATATAGGGTGAGTGAGAGAGAGAGAGAGAGAGAGAGAGAGTGATAAATACCAGCTCAGTAATACACAAATCCATACATACCGCTGCTCTGTAACAGACCACTGTCCACACTGTCCCCTCTCCGCTCCGTTACATCATTACCGCCCTGTGCTGTAACAAAAACAGATGTTTTTCTGTTTTTCTGACTTGGTTCTGAAAAGCTCCGGTCATCACCTGTGCTGCCGCAGTGCCACTCCACTGCCAAACGCCCGCCGTGGGGCTGCATTTGCATATCTGCTGACACAGCACTATTATCACACAGAGGTCAAGCAATTCTCAGATTGCTGTATCCATCTATCGCACGCCAGCGTGCATAATGGATCCGGAGAAATGCATAAATAACCCTGCAGAGCGCCGGAGTCTGACAGTGCAGCTGATACAGAGACGCAAACACCGTCACACCACAGCTTTCCTTCAATTCCACACGTTTATATGATGATTCCTTCCAGAGATGAGGAGATGCAGTGAAGTAATAGCTGAACAGCGTAAATCCCTGAAGATTCTCTGGATTTGATTCACTTTTGTAAGTGGATAATGGACAAATACATGGAAATCAATACTTACACAGATAAGATATGAATAATAAATGTAAATAGAAATGTTTTGTGGTGTATTGTTCTAACTGTGTGATAGAGTTATAAATAAATAAATTAATTAATTAATTAATTAATACACAAATAGTAACAATAATAATAATAATAATAATAATAATAATAACAAATATCCTATCTATCTATCTATCTATCTATCTATCTATCTATCTATCTATCTATTGTTATTATTATTATTATTAACAAAACAACAACAACAACAACAATAATAATAATAATAATAATAATAATAATATTAATAATAATAATAATAATAATACTAACAATAATAATAATAATAATAATTTTATCCCTAAATGTCTCCTTTGAGGTTCAATAAAATTAATCAAACTTTCTGTCTATCTATCTAACAACAGCAACAACAAAACTACAACAACAATAATAATAATAATATTAACAATAATAGAAGTAATAATGAACTGTCTTGTTTCCTGGACATCCTGTTCTGTTTTAGTGGGATGGTGGGCAGTGCAGGGAATGATACAGACACACGAATGACCTTCAGCTTCAAACTCTGCTCTGGCAGAATTACTGCTGACATGTGTAACATTATAGGAGGAGAAAAAGCACAAAGAAGCAGCACCACACACACACACACAGACACACACACACACACACACAAACACACACACACTATTTCTATAACATCTATAGGGCAATACATATGTTGCCTGTTTTGAACATGTTTAAATAGGTGTCTTATATGCCATTATGCACTGTTGATGTTGAGCTCAACAGCCTTTATTTGGCTCCTTCTTGGTTGACTGCACATCCAGTTTGCTGATTTCTTCATTTCTGTAGTTCCGTCTTGACAACATTGGGCCTCATTCACCAATGTCTTCCTAAGTTTGTGCTTAAATGTGTTCTTGCCTTTGCCTTCCATAATGAGAAAGGTTTTTAAAAAAGTCTGTATCAGATTCATGACGTGTTCTTAAAGTGCAGAACTGTTTACACCTTTGTGCTGTTGAGTGTGTGTAGATTCTGTTCTTACCTAAGAATTAATCCCAAATAAGAAAACACTGGTGAATGTCAGAATCTTCACGCAAACTGCGTAAGTTGGTTTTAAGAGGAAATTTCTTCTTAAGAATGATTGGTTAACGAGGCTCAATGAGGTCCAATAAAGGGGACTTCTGCTTAAAGAGCCATTCCACTGATTTTAGAAAATTTCTGCATAATGAAATAGTTGAGATGTAAACTGAGTCACTCAGAGTGGTTTAATGTGAAACGGTTGATTGTAGAGAAATTCAGACTCAGATTTCTTTACAGTGGTGGTGATAGGAACCAGGGGTCACCATGACTACAACACAAATATAGCCATTTTATTTACTATCCAGTCTTCTGAGTTTTATATGCAATTTTGATGAATACTGAAATAACTGATGAATAAAGAAATAACTACATTTGTTGGGGACTATTTGGACAATTTATTATAAAAATACATTTTTATCAGGCAGTGAATTCATAACCATTGCATGTAATAACTTTCCCTAAGGGAGCTTTTAGAGGTGGACGTCTGGTTCCTATCACCACCACTGTGTACAGACTCTGTAAGTTTCTTTAGAACGAAGCGTTTCACACCAAACCACTCAGAATGACTCTCTTTACATCTCAACTATTTAATTATGCAGATAGTTTGTAAAATTCCCCTCTGAGCCAGTAACGATTAATATTAAAACGACTAACGATTAATAGGAAAACATTTTTAGCACAGCAGACTGAGGGTCAGTGTTACTCTAATTAACATGATTGATACTGAAATCCATTGTGGAAATGACTAAAAATGAAAAAACAAGCAGTCTTGGGCAGTGAAATCATCCTAAATGTAGTCAATATGTCTAATATTTCTCATTCTGAGATTGCTGTAAGAATATTATAAGATTATTTGACTTTTTCACTTCTTTTAAGTCATTTTATGAGGTGAAATTATCTCACTGCAGCCACATGCAAAATTTGTAGTCAAATGAAATGTTCTGTTGATTTTCCAAGTGAAAATAACACATTTTCTACAGAGAACACGCTTAAATATGATATTTTCTTCTGCTAATTTTAGTGCACAATTTCTATTTATTTGCTATTTTATTGGAAAACATAAAATACATAATGTGTCATAACTTTTGCACAAGCCACAAGTTTTATTTTTTCCCCAATATGTTAAATTCAGTGAACAGGGTAAATAATATTATAATACTCTTACAATCTCATAATGAGAATTGTTAGATATATTGGCTGGATTCGGATAATTTCACTTGCCAAGGTGTCATTTTTGCAGTGTACACAAACAATGATGCTTGGTTTAGTATTTAAAAGTAAACCTGAATTACCTAAATTGATTCTAAATTAGTTTAGTAATATTTTCCAATTCAAGAGACCTAATTCTCATACCTAACACAGGAAGATGTGAGAATAAATCCTTTAATAATGTTTTTTTCCCAGTTTCTTTCATTGCACTATTTTAAAGCTAATTATTCATGTTTTTGGCTTTTTTTATTCCAGTTCTCTTTACTGCAGCATGAACACATATCTGTTTCTCATTACTGGTAACTATTACTGATGTTATATATGTTTAGCATGAGCTGCTTTTTTAACGAGGCACAATACATCCAATCAGAACAGAGGTCATTAACATATATCATCATATGTCATATGCAGCAACACCATAGCAACCACCTGGGATAGCACAGCAACGGTTTAGCAATACCTTAGCAACTACCTGGAATATCATAGCAATGACCTGACAACACCTTAGCAACCACCGGGGATATCATAGCAACAGCTGAGCAACACCTTAGCAACCACCTGGGATATCATAGTAACGACCCGACAACACCTTAGCAACCACCGGGGATATCATAGCAACAGCCGAGCAACACTTTAGCAACCACCTGGGATATCATAGCAACGACCCAACAACACCTTAGCAACAACCTGGGATATCATAGCAAAGACCCAAGAACACCTTAGCAACCACCTGGGATAGCATAGCAAAGACCCAAGAACACCTTAGCAACCACCTGGGATATCATAGCAACAGCCTAGCAACACCTTAGCAACCACCTAACAACCACCAAGCTGGAATACCATATCAACACACACACACACACACACACACATACACACACACACACAGACACACACACACACATTATCTAAGCTGCTTATCTTCCTGGGTTGCTGGGGGAGCTGGAGCCCATCCCGGCGGTCATTGGATGGAAGGCAGGAAACACCCTGGACAGGCCGTCAGTCCATCCCAGTAAACCAAATTAAATGAATTTATTTAATCAACAGTTGTCAAGCCAACTTACAGTTTCTTCATGAACTTTCCACTTCTAGTCACTTTTTACTGTATTTATGCTTATTTATGTTTATTCAAATGTTATATTTTGTTGTTACTGGCAAAACATACAGGTAAAAAAGTTTTTAGCATTTTTTTTGCTGCCTCAGACTTTCGCACAGATCTGTATGAACTTTCAGCTGTACACAACTTTCTATGGTACGTTTAGAATATGTAATTAAAATTTGCCATATTTTTCATACTTTTTTAAAATGTCTTACATTATGTTTGTTAACATCTTTTAAAAATGCTTCTGTTTCTGAACAGGATACAGTATATTAGTAACAAGGTATGTAAAAGTAGAACAATTCTGGAGCTTAAAAAAAAGCACTCCTGTCACTTGCCAAACAATTATCTTCTTCCAGATGACTTTGGCTGACAATTGGGTAAAATCACGTCATTTCTAAGAGGATATGACACATACTGACCACTAGATGGTGGGATCTGTCTACAGGACCACTTACAGAAGGTTAAACTTCAGCATTTTTCAATATAGCACATGCAATGTATGATGTAAAAACTCACTTTAAGATCTCTTGACTTACCATGGGCTCCAATTTTATCTTACTTTGAAGTAAAAACATAATACAGATACAGTAAAAACAGATAAAAGTAATAAAATACAAGAAAAATGTGAGATGTTTGCGTTTTAAAGTCTTTTTTAAATACAGTATTTTGAGCTATGGATGGTTTGTTATTGTTCAGTTTGTTATTGCATCAGTTTCCATTGTTTGGCCTTTTCCAGTATCAAAATAATCAGGTTATCTGATCGCTTACATAGTGGCAGCCCATTATTGTTTGTTTCCACAACTTCCTAGAGTTTTAAAAGTAAACAAGAAGTAAAGGAGACAGTTCTATTCAGTCCTGTTCCGGTTCAATATTCACTTTCATTCACACAGTTCAATGAAAGTCATTCAGAAACTTGCACCTTGTGTAATTTTCAGGATGACTTATTCCTGGCAGTAAGTTTCCATTGTTGCACATCCTGTTTACACTCGCACGTCCCATGACAGCAGCGCTGAGGCCGCGGGAAGCTCATGGAAAAGAGGAGGATGAGACTCGCTGTCCAGGATGCGTTCAGGATGTGCTGGAAAAGAAGAAGAAATCATGGCCTCGAAAACCGCGGCTAATTTTAGCACCAACTAGACTAACTTGACTTTGTTTGGTCGTCACATTTTACCATATTGTGTCCATTTTCTCTCTAAACTAGGCTTAATTTCTTATATTGCTTATGAAGCAATGGTGCATTGTTGTTTATGATACAAATTAAATTTTAAAAAAAGTTTCTTCTCACAGTTTTGAGGGAAGACATGTTAGAAAACTTCATAAAAGTCCCATTTTAATCAGCCTTATCAAACTGATCCTCTTAGGTTGTGGACATCCATCCTGTGGGAAACTGTCTCATCTGTTGTGTAATTTGTTATGTAATTGTTATGTAATGAAACTTCGAGATGGTTTAAAACACGTTCACAGACGTCTTAATCATCTTAAGGTGACATTACTGCTCTTGCATGACGTTCCTGACTGCTGTACTGTATACTGTGCTGCCAAAAAAAAATAATAATAATAATAATAATTAATGCACCTCATACAAAAAATATTTTAAAAAAAGATGTAATTTGCTTGTTTACCCCTCTTGTTGTTTCAAGCAAGCTGATGCTCTCAAGTCATGCCACTCCACCTACTACCATCTAACATTAACCTAAATGTTTACATTAGACTAATTATTTGGATTTATATGTACTCATATGTAAGGTTTAGATACCTATATGAGGCCTGAGAAGGATTTTAGAGCCCCCTGCACCATGGGCTTCAGCGCAATTGCATGCCCCCCTAGTTGTTATGCAACTTGCTGCATAGCTTATATAAGCTATACAGGGATATATATGGATTTTTGCTCCAACTTAACTTCCAACACACAGGCAGTGAGACAAAACGTGGACTGTCTGGGGGTCAGTTTGAACACCCTAAAGAGCTTTTAAAGTTCAGAGAACCTCTGCAAAACATAAACGTTCACACTCACAAATCTCTATTTCAAACATGGTTCTTTAGGGAAGCAAAAGTGGTTCTTCTGTGGCATCATTCAAATAATTTTTTGGGGTTTTTTGAAGAGTGCTGGCCTGGGGTGGGGAACTGAGGGTGGGAGTGTAGCACAATTTGGTGACTTCCCTGCTCTAGACCACCACTTAAACCTGGTTATTACCTGATGGGTTGAATCAGGTGATCCTGAGTGGGAAAATCACACCAAACTGTGTGGGCCTCCAGGACTGGAGTTCCCCACCCTGTCTAGGCTAATAAATGCATCACTTACAGGCCTCTAGGGCTGTTTTCCCAGGCGTGGTCTAGTCTTGGACTGCAGTGGTGATTTATCATTGAGATTCTTGTTATTTGTGGTGTAGGTTTAGTCTTTAGTCTGGGGAAATTGTCATAGCAAGCAAAAAGGGCCTACACCGGATTCCCACAAGCACTATTATTTGGTTATAAATTGACTGTAGGCCAGTTTTGCATATACATAAAGAAAAGCCTCTCAAAAACGCATATTTTGCATTTCTGGTCTGTGGGCAAACAGAGAGCGGCTACCAATCACAGTGAGTTCTATTTAGCAGTTCACTGTTCTCTGAAGAAAACCTTGTATCTCCAAAATGAGAACTTCACAGGAGAAGGAATAAACACACTCGTCGTGGCCACACAATAGTAGGCCTTGATCCCACGCCTTACTAGGTCGTGGCCACAACTTAATTATCTTATTCCCTTGTCTTACTAAGTCGTGGCCATGCATTAGTAGGCCTATCTTGTTCTCATGCCTTACTATGTCGAGGTCTTGACTTAATTATCTTGTCCCACACCTTACCAAGTCATGGCCACGACTTAATTATCTCATTCCCACACCTTACTAAGTCGTGGCCACACTTTAGTGGGCCTATCTCGCTCCCACACCTTACTAAGTCGTGGCCACGACATAGTTATCTTATTCCTACACCTTACTACGGAGCCTCGCTGGTGGGAACGACATCCAAATGCGTGGCCCCGACTTAGTAAGCCGTGGGAATGAGATGATTAAGTCATGGCCATGACTTAGTAAGTCGTGGCCACGCATTATTTTTATTTATACAGGATGTCACCAGCGGGGCTCCGTACCTTACCAAGTCGTGGCCATGACTTAATTATTGTGTTCCCACGTCTGACTAAGTCGTGGCCACGCATTAATAGACCTATCTCGCTCCCACGACTTAATTATCTTGTTCCCACGCCTTACTAAGTCGTGGCCACGCATTATTTTTATTTATACGGGACGTCACCAGCAGGGCTCTGTGTATATATCAGATTTCTGTATGGCTGCTCTCAGTCTGGAACTTCGTTTTAGACCAAAAGGATCCAAAAAGTGAAAAACGGCGCCACCAAACTTTGTTCAATCTTTTTTTTTATTGAAGTTTGAAGTCGCTTCTGCTTCTGCTTGAGTCTTTATGTCACTGCAGTAAGCTGAGGAAGGACTTGAGTTCCTCTAGCCACCCCTCTCCCCCAGCTGCAGATCACTCCCAGTCTCAGTGAGTTCATCTGGGTAGGAGGAGGCAGATTCCTGCCCAGCTTGAGCTCACCGGAGCCTCTTTCACTTTCCGAGAGCGTCGCGCCTGAAGGAGCTTTCGGAGCCTTTTTTTTTACTCTCTTCAGCTGGTTACATATAAAAGAAACGAAAAATGGCCCAGTTTAACAAAGGCCCCGCGTACGGCTTGTCCGCAGAAGTCAGAAGCAAGGTAAGACTGCAAGGCTGAGGAGCCGTTTGGTTTCGTGCTAATCTTGAGCTGTTGTCCTTCACTTTCTCTCAGCCATCACTTCCCCCCACTGCACATTTCTAATGTCTGCGCGAGTCTTGTTGTTCAGAAAGACGAACCTTCGGTTCTAGAGCGCGTTCTTTCTTTCTTCCTTCCTTCGCGTTCTCGAACGTTCGAGCCCCGCAGAGTTCGAGCACTTCTGTTTTCCTCAGCTTTATCGCGCGACAATCTGGGTTTGGTTACTTTTTTGCAGGCTTTTGTCTTTTCTTCCTACCGCCGGCCTCCTTTCGCCGCTTTAGCAGTGCGCTTTAACACGTTTTTGAGAAGGTTTTGGAGACACATCCCAGAACACCCTGCACCTCAATCGCCTTAATCACTTTTACCATCCACATATATGCAGTTCTGGTCAGTGAATGAAAGTCTTCTTTACCTTTTTCACACTTTTTTTTTCTGTGGTGAAAAACGTGAGCTCTTCTCACCACCACTAGGCTGCTGAAAGCAACTTTGCCACGATGCGTTCAGACACACAAACTCAATGATGTTTCTTTGGAAGTTTTTTTTCCCCCCCTTATTTTTCAAACTTCATCACTTTTAACCTCCTTTTAACCGAATCTGGTGACTTGGATTGGCTTAAAGTCCGTCGTCAAGGCTGTAACACTGTAGGTATGGGTCTAAACTGTGGGGACCAGGCCTACAGCTCAAACTACTAGCCATGTTGGGGTGACTGTGGGGTGGTGGTGATGTTTGCAGGGCAGCCCAGCAGGACAGATGCCACTCCGAAGTATGGAGGGTCATACTTTTGTTGGGCAGATCCTGGGTGGAGTCCCATGTGCCTCTGAGAAGAAACCAGAGTAGTCAGGCAGTTCAAGAGAAGTTTGAGTGACTCAAGCCAATGAGAATGAGTGACAATGTGCAAGACCTATAAAGGGGAATTCCACCCATTTTTCAGATTCTCGTATAATTAAATCAATACAATGTAAGCAAAGACATTCGGAGTGGTTTGGTGTGAAAGAACTGTTCACGGTGGTGGTGATAGGAACCAGACGTCCACCTCTACAAAGCTCCCTCATGCAAAGTTATTAAATGAAGTGGTCATGAATGTGCTGCCTGGTGTTTGCGTTGTTTTGTGTCAGTTTTTTGGCCTAAAATGTATTTTTCATAATCCATTTGTGGCAGAGAGGTACAAGTAGATTCAGTTATTAGGCAGTATAGGACCCAAAGCCAGCTTATTTTTTATATAATAGCTGTATTTGTGCTGTAGAGATCATGTTCCCCTGGTTCCTTTTGGAGTTGTGTTAGCAAGAACCTGGCAATGCAATACGTGTCATCATGTAGGGGTTGCGATTCAATATATTGCAATATATTGCGATACTGTAAGCAAGGTGATATCGCAAACTTTTAAAGTCTAATTGTAGGAAAACTGTCATAAAAAGTACCACCATATGCAAAAAAATCAGAGTAAAAAGATTACAGCACTGCTATCTAGTAGTCGTGGGTTTAAACACTGCAAAATCTGCCGCGAATATTTATATGTAACCATTAATTAAAAATTTGAGAATCAGTACAGTATCTCAAAATATAATATTGCGATACTCAAATGCATTGATATTTTCTTAGACCCCTAGTTCGCATCACCATCTCTACCATAAACCATTTCACATTAAATCGTTCTGACTTATGATAAAACTTGGAAAAATATGTGAAATTCCCATTTTTATATGCTTATGTTTGCAGCCATGATTGATTATTTGATTGACTTTATTGCGTCAGTTATCACTGTTGTCGGAAGAAAATCTCCAAAATGGTAACTTTACAGGAGAAGGAAAAAACCTACTTTACTTTTAATGTAAGTCAATGGAACCAGACGTCTTTCCAAGTCATTTTGAGTCATTTCTTTTGGTCCATACTTCATGAAATTTACACACAATGTAAAAAGCAACAGGCATTTTCAAATTATGGCAAAAACTGAAAAAGGCAACGATATGCGTTTACTAGTTAAATTTTTCTTTATAGGCTTGCTTATTTTCTTCATTGATTGATTGTAAGATGGCAGTATTAGCGTTACCTGCAGTCATGTAGTGACAGATAACAGGGTGGAAGAAGGGTTTTGCATGCAGTGGTTCTGGCCACAGTCTCCTGCATGTTTCTAGTAACCTACTGTTCCATGCATGATGCATATTTGAAGGGATGTAAGTTAAGCAAGTGAATAACAGCTGCCTTTGTCACCCTCTTAAAAGGGGCCATGCCGCAGAAGCTTTCAGGTCTATTCAAGCGTGGTGGAAGGAACTTGGTGGCTGTGGTCCTGAGGCTTGAGGAAATGATCTCAACGGTTTTTTTAAGAGCATTCTGCAATCCAAAAACAAACTTGCAGTGTCACTTTCATGCAAGGCTGAACCTCCTTTGAACGATACTGTACACTGTCCTCAAAGCATCTTAGCACAGAGGTCACTGCAAGATGTTGAAAGTCGTACGCGATTCTCTCTAATAATTTTACATTAATTTAAACACTGCACTGCACTTTCCAGGTCCTGCTTAAAGCAATAGTCTGGCAAAAATCAAACGTACACCATTTTCCCGTTACTCCTAATGTGGTCAGTCATCCAATACACAGGCTTTGTGTCCAAAATCTGCTTATTTAGTTTGTACTGCTGTGTAGCTGTAGTAGTAATGGACGCTTATACACCATCAGTTAGCATCGTGCAGACTTAAAAGGTCCATATAATAAAAAATACCGTTTTTTTCATCGTGTATTTTTACTTTTTTTGTAAACAAGAGTTTGATGTGTCTGTAAACACTATAAAAATTCCACTGAGCTCCTCCTCCCTGTCACGTTTGTTATTCTAGAAGTCAGCTGTGCTGAGTGAACATGTTCTGCAAGTTCTGTTACTTTTGAAATTCAATGAGATGTTTGCTGTTCATGGGAAAGACAAAGCAGTTTCGTGCCCTTCGCATGTATTTTGTTGTGTGCTTTGTGCTCAGCAGATGGATTTAAGATGGTTCAGATGTCTGTCTGCTTTTAGAATGCTGGCCATTCATTTACTGTAACGTAGGCAGCTGTTCTAGACATCCTGGTAGTTTGTTGAAAATGACAAGCTCTAAAATCTGAAGTGGTTTGATGCAGCGTGATCTGTGTTCTGAAGTCTGTAGCTTCCTGATGAACTGATTACAGGCAGTTTGCAGGTCTCCTAGCTAAATGTTAGTTTGAGGAGGTGGGTGCAAACATGAAATAAACCACTTGAAAGGGCTGGAGGCAGCAAAGGCTGAGAAGGTGTTAACTACAGGGACAGCGCTGAACACACATTGCTGTTGTTGAAGTGTTCAGTCACAGGCAGGTTGATGCTACTAGGTAGGGATGCATTGATAACGATACTGGTATCGGCCCGATACCGTGCTCATTTGCTCATGCTCATAAATATTCACCGATACCACCTGGTACTGTGTGGCGTAAACCTAGATAGTGTACACCGCAGTGCAAATGAACAAATGACTCAAGCTGGCTGTGAATGAGCATTAAAGTGGTTATGTATGAGTGAGTGTGTGTGTGTGTGTGTGTGTGTATGTATGTGTATATATATGTATGTATGTATGTATGTATGTATGTATGTGTGTGTGTGTGTGTGTGTGTGTATGTATGTATGTATATATATATATATATATATATATTTATATATATATATATATATATATATATATAATATACACACACACAGACACACAACGGTCTTTCAGTGTGTTTGCTCAGTACTCAGGTGTGCAGCATGTTATTTTGAATAAAACAGCTTTATTTGAAACAGTCTTTATTTAGCTTCTTTACTTTGAAGCTGTCTTTAGAGGCTGCATTTCATGTACCATGGACAGAGAAATTTCGTATAGTATAAATTGTAGGCTTTATTCGCACACAGTGGTCTATTAAAAGGTACAGTGTGAGTCACCAAAGGACAAGATATTTAAAATCGCACAGTGGTATACAAAGATTTAGAGGATAGTCAACTAAAGTTATGGCTCAATCAGCCAAAAACACTTCAAGAAGATGTAAAACTCCACAGTTGGGCTCCTCGGATGCATTAGCCTCGGGTGTGATTCCTGCTGTCACTGCGCTACAGAGACTGTTGAAAGAGACAGATGAGGATCAAAACTATGAAACATACTTTACCTGCACGAACAAAACCTGCTCTTCTCCACAGCAGTGCTACTCGATCCAAGTTAACTAATGTAGCATTGCTAGCTTCCTTTGCACTTTATTGAAAATCAGCTATATTTTAATGATTTAACTGTTAACATACATTTGCACTAATTTAGCATAGCAGCAGCTTTATTCTAAGTCACTTATGGTTACGATATGGTATCCTACTCGGTATCAGAGAGTTCTAAAAACATACTTTATCTGAAAGTATTGATTCATCACTACTACTAGGGTTGTGCACAGGTACTTGAGTACTCGGTTATCCAGGCCAGGTGCCAGTATTTGAATGCTGAAATCATTATTCTGGTATTTGTTATGCTGCGTCACAAAAAGACGGAGAAAAACATTCAGGCCAGTGGTTAACTAACTGCTGTTGTGTCTTAACAGGGCTGTGAAGTGCAACAGTTTTGCTTGTCTTTTGGAGGAAGTAAGTATATAAAAAACTTTGCTGCTACAAAACACAAGTGCCTTAACATTAGTTTGTTGCCAAGGGCGTGTTGTTAAAGAAGTGATTGAGAAGGCAATGCAGCTTCTAACTAGGCTAACTAGTTGAATTAGCTAGAAGCAAAAACGATGAAAAGATACAGTTGTATGCAAACGTTTGCACACCCCTGGGCAAGACACATTTTGTTAATTGTCTAAGTGGAAATAAGTCAACACATCTTAAATATGGCATTTTTTTCTGCAGTTTGTAATGCCCAACTTCTGTTTAGTTTAATGTATTGGAAAAAATAGAATAAAATGTTCCATAAATTTTGTACAGGCCACATTTTATGTTTATTTTTTTCCAAGTATGTTA